TACTCTATTATGTAAACAATTTATATTACAAACGACTAAGTATTCTTGATTTGAATATAGCCATACTCGCTACTTCCGCTCAAGTCAGGTTGCGTCAACAACATCCTAACAACTTTGATTTTGCCGAGTTTTTGGACCGTTTAAGAATTACTCTTGTGTTTGAGAGAGGACTGAATACAGTGAAAGGGGTTCATCATGTTCTTATCCATTCTTTTTCTTTGTGCAGTAATTGGTATGTGGACTTTTTTTTAATTTCAAGCTTGTTTGCATTTTCGGGTTTTTCGTCGAGCAAGTCTTGGGTACTTACTTATCACAATTTCGAAAAGAATGGAGCTGTTCACTGATAATACGCATGAAATGCTATTTTGAACGGAAAAGTGACGTAGATGACTAACTGTACCACCTTTCCAGTCAACTTGACAGCGATCAAACATGTCTGTTCAAGGGAATTTGATCGTGGTCACGGAGGAATTTGAAAATTAAACTAAGTCGAGTGAAGCTTTCGTTTTAGTTGAGAGCTTCTGATAGATTTGCTCCTCAGCTACCTTAAAGATACCACGTTGAAAAACATTAATTGACAACTCTGCGTTTCATTTTTCGATCGTGTTGTAGAAAATCTCTTTCGTTTGTAAATTTCAAGTAACAATTTTCTCTTCCTCTCCCCTCTTACTATTTTTTTTTGTATCCACGCGCGGCGCGAGTGATTTCACAAATTAGCTAACACGTCAAAGAACTCTAATCTTGACATGACGAGGTAATTATTCACGTACTTTTAGTTTTTTTCGCGGAGTTTTAGTTAGCTGTTTTTGAGCTTTCGTTCGCGTAAATTTGTTACCCCTTTGCTTGGAAATTCAGGAAGTTTTGGACTTTTTATTTTTTAGCCAAAATATGGTTCATTTAACAAGTTTAATCCATATTTTCTACGGAGTTTGGACTCTGGTCTCTTTTTTCGTAAACGGATTTTTTACACGTCTGACTGGTTTTCATATCTGAGTAGACTCGACAATTGGCAAGAGAGAATAAGCCTTCTCAGTGAGCTTCATTTGTTAGCATTTAGCAAAAAAAGTGGTCGTCGAACGATAAAACCTAATTTGAAAAATGAAGTTCATGAAACTTAGAACCAGAAATTTTCAGCCTAACTTTACACCTATTTATACATTTTAGGAGGTAATGGCGGAGGTGATGGAAAAGGTCTGAGATTGAACACTGACTACAGAGACAGAGGCTCAGGCGACGGTCCTCTGGCGGGGAACGAATGGACGATTTGGAGTGAATGGAGCGCCTGCTCCACTACCTGCGGACGCAGCTTGAAATTCAGACACCGCACCTGTATTACTCGGCAGTCCTCCAACTGCCAGGGGGTTAATCTGGAGACTAAATACTGTCAAGTACCGATGTGTGATGGCATTGTACCAACATAACTTACTAAGCATTTCTGTTTCAAAGGCTCTGGATGACAGTCAGTAGTTAGCTACTAGTGATTTAAGACAGTGAAATGTTGACAAGATCAAATAACATTCAAACAGAGTTTACTTGTGTTATGTTTATTCCTTTCCTTGTTTCTTTTGCATTCATTTTCAGTCTAAGCTTGGATGATTAACAAATTATACCTTGAAGTATGTTTCAAAATCACAATTGTTGGTGTAAAATGCGAATCTTTTAAAAAGCTTGTAACTAGTTAGCATAATGTAACAACGCAAGGAACGAAGAGCATAACAACTTCAGTATAGTGTTTGAATACACAAATGCATCCATGCATTGTTCTTTTCTTTGGGAAAAGAAGCAGACAAGTTGTTTACGTCGACCCTCACGCAAGAATCAATTCCTAATTAATTTCAATTTCTCTGGTCTTTTGAACAAAATGAACAAAAGACATTTTTAATGGTTCTCAATGCGTCTTGGAATGTTGAAGCGTTACATCCTTGGTGTCTGCCTTAAATAAATTGTCACATTCAACCGAACCTCTCTTCGGTCTGACACATGGAGCGAGAGACACGACAGAGCTGTGAGAAATGTTGCGTAACTAAGATAAGAAACAAAAAAAAAAAAGACAAGAAAAAATTAATTGGACGCTGGTGATCGTGCACCCCGTGGAAACTGGAACTCAGAGTCTTGGCCATCTCCTTCCGCTTCCACGCTTAAGCCCCGCGCGCAACCTTCTTTTTGTTTTTGTTACACAATTTTTTTTCATTCGTGATTCTAGTGCAAACCAAGAGATTACAAACTGTTTACAATCTCTTGCGCAAACCAATTTAGGACCAAAAGGCATGGAAAGTTTAAATTTTATGGCACTCTCTGCTCACAAGAAACTGAATATTAAATTCTGGCACGACTTGCGCGTGGGCGTCAGATGGATAAATTTTATGACGTCACATTAAATTGTTAGAAAATAATTCATTCTCGTAGAGAAAATTGAAAATGGTTGCGTCTCGCTTAGATGTGCTTTGGCATAAGATTGTGTTATCCTCACCCGTTTGGTTTGCTTTAGAGGTGGTTACCCAGAAACCTTGGCAGTGGAGTTTATACAGTTCGTTGGTGTTGTCGAGTTTTATTCCGATTACCGTGTTAATAGCTTTTATAGTAGGATCAATGTTGTCCAGTTTCACCGTCCTCCTCGTAATTCAGTGTGGATTATTAACACTCGCTATTGCGTCGTTTCTTTCGACAATCGCAGTGCTTGCTCCTCTGGCAATTACAATTGCATTTTTAATCTTTGTGATGTGCAAAGCAGTAACAGTCTCCATGTGTATAGTGCACTGGCTGCTGATCTCACCAAAGCTACAACTTCAGCGAGTCAAACAATATTTGACAAAGGTGAATGAAAATTGTGGACTGTTAACCAGATTGGAGCAAAGTGGAATAATCCATGAGGTCAAGTTAAGGAAAACCCAGAGAATAAGAGAGCGATCTTCTCCTCAATATTCAGATTCTGAAACGCGACGACGAACTCAGTCACACGCGTCCCCCTGCATTACCACTCATGTCTCTGAGACATACAAGGGAAGGATAACTTGTCTGAACGAAGAGGAAACTAGCTGTAACAAGTCATCCAACACTTGCACACGTGATTTTGATTTTTCAGCTTCGGGACAAAAGAATCGAATAGGACGTGAGTTTTGCTCTGGGCTGTGGTCAGCAAGCAATTCATCGTCTGAGGAAGACGCCATAAAATTTACCTCGGGACCTGGTTCTGAATCCTACCACACAGCAGATGAGTGGCTTGCAGAGGATTATTGTGGTAACGTAATCCCCGATTATAGAGACAAAGAAGCAAAGTTGTACGAAGCACTTTTGAAAATGGATTTTTGCTCAAGAGACGAGAGCTACATTTTGATTGAACGCGCTTAAGGCACAGGCTACAATTTAAATTGACCTGACAAAGGGAGCGCAGTTGCAGTTATTTGAGGCCGAACACTTTTTCTTTTGCAATTTGTACAAGTTCCCTCATTCTTTAGTTAATCAATAAAATGTTAATCCATAAACGAAAGTTACATTTTCGTTGTTGTAATCGATGTGCAATAGCGAGGAACGACTCTTTTTAGAGCCTAGTTAACACATGCCCATAACATCTATCTTTCCCTAAATTACTTTATTAGCAATAATTCAATAATTAACTGTCTGTTCAGCCAACCAGTTCAAAATCAGCTACATTCCTAACATAGCCTTTAGGTCTTTACGGTGGCCAATTTACGTTTTCAAGTCAGTTGGTAACACTACATTACCCTGTTATATTCCCAACATGTTAATCTTAGAAAGCTTTGAACACCAGTCTGCCTTTGTCCTTTTTATCAACCTAAACTATGTGCGAGTAGTAAGAGGTAAAAGATGGGGTGATAGAGGCAAGATAAGTCCTATCTGCTGGAAGTGGATAGATTAGTTTCCATTAACAACAACTGTGAAAAGTTCACTGACCATTGTATATTAGGATTCAGACCCCTTGCATTTATGGAGTGTAAGTACATGCAATTGACATTAAAAATGGCGAGCACACGGCTCGTGTTCTGATAATACAGTCATCATATCATTAAACGCCTTCTTTCGATGGTTCAGCCAAACGAACGATACTGACTACACCCGAGTTTAAAGATTGACAGTTCTCAGGGAGCAGAACTGAAGTTCCTACTGGCTCTCACAAATATTTGTCACGTTATGCGGTCGCCACGCAACGGACAATTTCACATCAGTTCTTTATCCTTCCTGGGGTGAAGTTCTACTTTCGATTCGAATGTTATGTCGAACACGTAAACCCAAACGGAAATGTCGGTCACTCTATATTTTTACCAAACGTGCGAAACCATCACCTCCCAAGGGCAGCGAGACAGGCAGCAATCCCTTGTAAACTTGTGTTTACCCTATCAAACTTTATTTTTGGAATTGGTACAGTCCGGGGACGGACGCACTTGAGCTGGTGCTGCCAAGTTGCTAGGAATTTTCAAAATGACAGCACTCAGTCAAATTTTCCCTACATTTAGAGGTAAACTATGACCAGTCCCAAGGTAAACAATGAGAGAGCTAGCACTCTAGCACTAGAGTCCGTCTCAGAAAACGGGCAGCCCTAAGACAAATTTTCCATTGATTTGTGGTTACTTGTGTGATTAATTTTTCTGAGAAAGAGGTACTGGTAATGCTCTAATTTTAAGTGAATTCTTGAAAGTTTAACTCACTCTTTGACATCTCAAACCATATCAGAGTACTAACTTCAAACATACTCTCTGAAATTTGGGTTGAATATTGTCTGGTTTTCGGATAAATTAACCAAAACCTTCCAAAACTAAAAACAAAATTACCTGCAGAAAAATGCAACAAAAACAAGTTTTGCAATGGAATTCAAAACAAAAAATTTGTATCACTTCCCCTTTAAAAACACTGGTTTGTCAATAATTAATAAACACATTACCAATAATGGTTACTTGATCAAGTAATTGCCGACTTTAAAAAGGATTTATAAGGAAACAAAACATTATGCATAATGATGAGTCTAAAATAAAGAAAGACTACAATCAAATTAACAGCTTGACATTTTATTGAAGTGGGTTAACTACTTCAGAGGAATAAAACGAGATGAGTGAGTGGCACCAATACCAGGTCGGCCATGCTTCACAGGCTTGTATGTGATTGAGAACTCCCCAAGATAATGGCCAACCATTTCTGGCTGTTAATAAAAAAACAACAAAAGCAGTGTTACAATAAGACTCTGGAGAGGAATCACATGGCAACAATCTGTCTCATGTTTTTGAACTCTCATTACATACATTATCAAAATATGGTTCCCACAAACTTGTCGCATGGATTCAAGCATCAACCTGTCATAGTTTGTTACAGATTGATGTTCTCTCTGAAAAAGGGCTAACATTCAAAACACAAGCTTAGAAACTCTCTACAGTGCCTGAATTACATTAACAACTCAGATCTTTAAATCAAATTATATTGTAACAGAATGGCTTCTTGTTCAAATGAGTCTATATAATGAGGTCAACTTCACCAAACAAGAAACAGCACTGGCAAAAACCATGAGGTCATCCCATTTAAATCACTAAAACAAACCTTAATTCAAAAGCCCAACCCATAGTTGGAAATTCTAAACTATTTTTTTTTTTGCTCTCTTGGCTCTCACTTTTATTGGTGTGTCGAATCACCAGGCCTTAGATAATAAATAATTGGAAATCATGAACTGCTTGATGTTAAAGTTCTAATTACTTGTGAGGCAAAACTAACCTACATGTAACAAGCACGAGTTTAAATAAGCAACATTCTTGTCAAATTTCATTTGTTACAAGTGACCAAATGTAGGCTCTAGTGTGTTAAAGATGGTTGAGTGAAAGCTAAAAGTGTTATCAAAAGGATCTTTAGAGGCTAGGAAAATAACAAACTGAGCAAACATACAGTTAAGAAAAGGCACAGCCCAGATGATCAGATAACAGATAGATGGGTTTAGCAACTTGCCTGATGTAAATTTCATTCCTGCTATTCATTTTCTATCATCTTTCACAGTAAAGAAGGTTATGTCATCAGCTAATTAGAAACAATGTTGTTACAGAGCTCCTTTTCATGGTGACCAAAAACAACACTGATAGTGTTCCAGATGCTTAGAAGTTTTTTTTACATTTTTTCCTTAACTGCTTTTAGAACAAGTTTTCATTCAGTTGTTTGTATATTTTAATAATACTCCCGCCAAGACAGAACCAAACTACATGTGATGAATTCTGTAGATAATCCATCCTTCTAACAGTTTTTTTTGCTCAAGTTCTTGTAAAACAGTAAGAATCACCATCATGCCAAAATTTTCAGGGGACATGGAGGTTGTAGGAGATACAAAGAGTAATATATTAATGTATGACAGAAACAAAATGGCCATTAAATAGTCAAAGCAAGAGGAAAATAAATCAGCACTCAAAAACTGTTTCTGTACTAATAAAAAAAAATTGCATGCAAAAAAAGCAATTTAGCCCTTAAAAAATTTTCAGTAGGAAAAAGCAATTACACAGCAGACTTTGGCAGTGCAGACCATGCAATGTCAGCACAATCATAAAATTATTCAACTGATTAAAGAGATTCTCACTCTCTGATGGGTTGTGGATAGCAATATCTCTCCCACAAAGGAGACTAATGCAAGGATGCTAGACTTTTTGGATTTAACAGGTTGCAACAGGATTATGATCAATCATTTTAATCCTGTTTAACAATTTCTGAAAAACAAACATTGGCACCAGTTCAGTTTTTCCATCTGTTTTGTGCAGTTCAGACTGACCACGTGATCTATGCCCCAGACCCCAATTTTTTCTGTTCATTGATGTATGAGAGGTTGGGAGCAGAGAGAAAAGATGAAGGTTGAACTTTTGGTATGATAATCATCTTAGCTGGGGTTGTTTGAAGTACAATCAAGCTAACTAAGGGTTAACCAATGTTTTCTTAATTTAGTTTTGTAGCTTGTTGTTAGTTTTAAATGTATCCACTTTTCCTTCAGTTCTGTCTTACACTGAGGTAAAATCCCTCAAAATGTGTACTCTAATATACACTTCATATCAAAAGAAATAAAGGACAAGTAGAACTTTAAATCCTGGATCTTTTGAACAAATTGGCCCTCAAAAACTATACCAAGACAATCTTCCTCAGGCTTTATGAAAAAAGTTGAATGATAAAAAGGTTGCCCATATCCCTACAGAGATGATTTTGTGGTTAAGTTGTACCTGTAGTTCAAATTTTGTTACCTCGCACATTTGCCGTGAGCATCCACAAATGTTACAAAATTAAAAATTTAATTGATGGTAACTTTGTTTTCACGCAAGTGTGCCCTCTCTTTCGTCCTAAGAAAGGTTATTGTCCTTCTTCTGCCGAATACCAAACCTGTAAACACTGGGCTCATCTATTTAGTAAGACAAATTTCTAAACAGATTTAAACCAAAGCCAACCTTTATTTCCACTTGGTTGAAGGTTTTTCCGTTGTAAACACCCACCATGCTACCAATCATCTCAGGAAGAATGATCATGTTCCTTAGATGTGTCTTTACAACCTCAGGTTTCTCCATTGGAGCAGCCTCTTTCTTCGCTTTTCTCAACCGCTTCATGAGGTGAACCGGTTTCCTCTTAAGTCCCCGTGAAAATCGTCGCCTGGCCCGGCAGTGAACCAGTTCCATAAGGTGGTCATGAGATAAGTCGAGAAGCTGATCGAGGTCAACGCCACGGAAGGTGAATTTGCGAAAAGTCCTCTTCTTCTTCGGCTGTTCTTGTTCAGCCTACAACAATCAAGCACATTCCGTTCGTTATCCGCAGGGTTTGTAATAGAAATCTCTCTTACCATACAAATAAAGCATTGAATGGAAGAGCAACCCCTGATTGAACTGAAAAAGAAAATAAGGAAGGACGATGAAAGAGGATAGAATCAGGGAATACTGACCATGTCGCCTTATGTTTGGAAGCAAAGGAAAAAAGGATAACACAAAAGTAGGGCCCAACTCTTCACGGTGGAGATAACAGATTCCAGTATTCTCGTTCAGCGGTAACTGCAATTTGAACATAATTATTCATGTAACAAGAGGGAGCAGTCCCTTGCGATCCTTCATTCGAACCAAGAATTGTGGCGTGACTGCAAACTACAGGCTCCGCAGGATAAGGGTCAAACACGATATAAACGCCATTTTAGGGACTTGTCCGAAATTAGCAGGGGGGGAGGGGGGGTGGGAATTTTAAATTTGGGTTCGGAAATTAGGTGACCCATCCCTGCAATGGGAGTGAAATTTGCTAACCCTCCCCTTGAGCTTGGCCTAAAATATCATGACCCTCCCCCTCTTGTATAAATGATAAAATCTAGTTCTTGCAATACACTAGGGTACGTCAGTATTATGAAAACTCAAAATATATTTCTAATCTGTTCTTTGTCATGCTACATACATACATTTGATTGATTGTATCAATGCTGATGAGATAAATGATGATGATCAAGATTCTCACAGCAGCATTGATGGTGATGCTGAAGACAGTGATGAATAGGATAGCCAGAACTCTACTAACATTATTAATAACAACATTATTCATAATCTCAATAAGACTATATAGCATTGTTATAAATGAAAAGTACATGTTTGTTAAATTCTTGCTATAGTACTTCACAGTTTATATCCATAACGTTCCGTAAACCGTTGTATTTTTCTCTTTTTTTTGCCAAATAAAGAACTTCCTTTTTCTTCTGTGGGTGAACCTCTACATGATCACGGGCATATATTTGCATGACCCTCCCCCTTTTAACTGCCCATTTTTCATGACCCCTCCCTTTTCTGAGGCTCAAAAAGTTGTGACCCCCCCCTCTGTTTCCACCCCCCCTACCCCCCTGCTAATTTCTGACAAGTCCCTTATGCCATAATTTATCACTAAATTTAAATTTTAATCAAAATTTCGCTCAAAAATGCATTGACTAATCGTTAATTAACGGCATCAACAAAATGGTGGCGTAGCGTAAAACCAGGACAATAAGTAATGGTAATAGGACTGAGAGGAGTTCAATTCTTTGTGTCGTTGCTTTTTCACGAGGGAGGCGTAAATTGTTTAATGTGTTATGACTGGTTGATTTAAACTGCAACTTTGAATGTGATTGGTTGATATAATCTACGACTTTGAATGTGATTGGCTTATTGAACTCTCCGATGACAAACTATCCGATGACAACTTGGGGTGGAAACTAGGAGTTTCTTAAATCAGTCACAATTGAGAAAATTGTGATCTTTATGATTAAGCTCATAACGATACATGGTATCCTGTTATCTTACAGTTGGACCCTTAGGTCATTAGCAAGCAAGTGACTTGCGTATCATTCGCGTTTAATATTTGCCCAATAAAACAGTCTTACTGAGGAAGAAAGATAATTTGCATTGCGTGGAGGAAATTTAAACTCTGAATTTAAAAGTACTGAAATTGATATAGACCGATCTAGGGAGATAAAAATGGAAAAAATTTTACTTCAGATTTTATTCTTAGTTTTATTTGTGTCGTTGCGCTTCAAGAGACCGTTAAACACGGGTGAATACCATACAAACAGGGCGTTAGGACTCAGTCAATAGTTATTACAGATTAATCTTCTCAGTTGTGTCGACTTCGTCGAATTCTGTGATATTTTCGTCCATCTTCGAGTTAAAAAGTGTTCTCCTCGACAGCAAACGACCTCTCAAAAAATCAAACAGGAAAGAGAAATATTCTTTGAAAATACAAGGTATTTCCCCTTGGCCTGATCGATAGTTCAAAAAGTTGACTTTTTAAAATTTTTTGCTTGAAGAGATGACATGAGATTAACTATTTGTGCGATATATAGACTGCAAATGTTTTATTAATGAAAGATATCTCTATATCAGCAGTGGAAAAACAGCAGGAGATAATCAATTAAAAAGTAGTGTATAGAATCTTATTCCAAATTAACGAAAAGGGACCTTCTCTTACAATTAATTGATCAACATGGGGGCCAAAATCAAGTTCTAATGTAGATTTGGTGGTAGCATGATGTATTAGTCGGCATTGTTTGACATAAGATTTTACAGGCTTTACACCTGGAGAACATCTGCAAGTTGAAATTACAATCCAACAAGGCTCCTTCAAATGCGGCTCAAAAAATTTCTTGTACCGGCAGTGAAATCGACAGAGGTCAATTTTTTTAAAGCTCGCTTTTCCTTTGCATTGGGACGTTGACAAGGTAACAAGGTATTTAGAAAGCGATCCTGATATAGGGGAGAGCAAATGACACTAATTCTCCTTAACAGTGACTTGCTGTCAAAAGAAAAGCAGGCTTTGATTTGCATATAAAGCTAACACTACCAAGGATTCCTTTTCAATTAGGATCGAGTGCACCCAGTTTTCAAATAAGTTTATATCAAAATCAGACATTCTCAAAAATGCCCTACATGTGAGGTCTTTGAAGAGAAAAACTTGTAATTTCAGTAATATGGCGGGTTTTGTTTTCTAGCGCACTTGGATGCTTCCGAATTAACTTGCCATAATCCATCACAAAATAGTGCCTTCGGCGCTCCAATTGTATGTTCTCCTGATTACACTTGGTTGCGGAAAATGTGTAAAAAAGTATTACTCTATTAATTGATCTCGTTTATCCTACCTGTCATTTTAATAAGTCTCCATAGTTTTTTTTCCCAGACTTTCGAGATGACTCAGAGATATAACATAACCTTTCATGCAGTAAAATCAAATAATGATGTCGTCAAATTTGAGGAGTCTTTGGACCCTTACTCTGCATTTCGGAGAGCATCCGAGGACTCCACAGTCCCTGATCAACCTCTTTGGGGTCTTTTAGTGTGGCAAGTCGTTGGCATCTTTTTGCTTGGTCTCATTTTGATATGTAGGTACCTTTAATTTTGAGTTTGTTATAAATTTTGAAGAACCTTTTCCTTTTTAAAAACCTATTCTATCTATTCAATCTTGTATAAGCTGGAGAAAACAAGCCATTTGGAAAACGACAACACCGAGTAATGTCTGGAAAAAAACTACTTTCATTTACATAACGCACTTTCGTTCAATATCAATCGTTGCCTAAAAAATGACCTAAAATGGCTGTTATTGTATTGCTTTTCCCAAAATTAATCAAGGGAAAATATAATGTAAGGCTTCACGGCTTGGATTGTTTATTGTAGGTGCCGTGTCTTGTTATTGCTGCGAACGTTACTCAGTAAGGATTCCAAAGACTAAGACAGAAGCTAACTTGGCTGAACACGATCAAAAGCTTTCCTTGGATGAGTTCTCAAGAGTAAAATACGACAAAAGAAGACTGAGCGGCGAGTCTGAACTGCTGCTTTAACTGCTAAGAGAAAGACTGGAACATTGATCAACCTCGACATTGTGAACTGAACAGTTTGGAGTTTGTTAGTTTCGTGGCTGGTGGGTTCATTGGCGTAAATAAGGATATTGTTTCTTGTCCGGCTGTGAAGAAAGGTGAAGGTCTGTTGCCGTGTCCTTAAAACAATTTCAATGGCAAACGAGGTGTTTTGCTCAAAATTAAGCATCATGTAATCGCTCTTTTCTCGAGTAACCTCGTAAAATCTACCATTAGACTCGATCTTGAATGGTAAGGTTTCAGTTAAAAAAATATACATTTGGTCAGAGACTGAGGCTGTGTGGAAGGGTGAGGAGTCAGCTCCTAGGGGGTGTTAATGTAAAATAAAGTAAAATTACACCCAGTGTACTCCGAAAATGACACCTTATGGGCTTCTGTCAAAAAGACAATTCCATAAAAATATTTGCAGTTGTCAGAGAAATAGTTGCTCCAAGTGCAATGACCATTCTTTGAATTGTCTATTTTAGAGTATAGACGCCCTTTTCCCCCTACCCTTCAACGGCATGGTCTTCCTTTCGGAAGACAATTTATTCTTTTTCAAGCAATGTAACGCCGTTACGTGTCATTTGTTTCGCTGGGTCTTAAAATGATATTTGGGTAATAATATTTCCTACGGCATACACAGCAGAATACTCCCGTCAAACAGCAAAGTTTCTTAAAGGGTCACAAATATGAGGGGAAACAATGAATAAAAATACAAATCAAAAATTTTCTGTTAAGATCTTGATAAAAAAAAACTTCAGCTTTAAAGATCCTGTTCCGGACCCCCTCAAAATCCCTAGTTAAATATTAGTTCACATGTACGAAATGTCACCCTGGTTACTTTGGTTAGACAGTTCGCCATTTTTCCATTAGGTTGAAAAAACATCTATTGACAGACACAACTTCACATGTTCACAGCGACTTGTGTAACTTTCCCAGTTGTAAGCAAACATGTTCAGCTGAGTACTTTTAAGATTCTCAACTTAGTCCACTACTCATTGTCTTAGATCAAACCTGGGAGGTATTCTATATTCTGATTGTACAGATGCAACATAATTGTAATTATTTCTTGAAATAGATTAACCTCCCCAAGGTTTCACCTGCGCGCGCATGTTTAGTTAGAAGGTCTTCAATAGGTTTTTCGGGATCCAGGATCGGGCTTATTTAAAGGCCAGGATCTGGGAATTTAAAGTAAGAAGGGACTCGGCGATTTTGAGAAGCGAGATTCGGGAAATAATCACATAAACGAACCGAGAACCGGGATGTCCGAGAATTTACGAAGGAATCGATCCACTCAGTCATGATAAGCACCAGGTATAGAGGCTCTCTAGCATTCACGGGGCGGTCGGGCTGCTCAATGACACTCTTCAGTTCAGTATTGCGCGGGAATGAAAGTTATATTAGAAGCGAAGTTGTCAATTTATCAAAAATCCTCAATGGCCCACAAGGTAACGTGGTTTAAGACTACTGCGTCAACTAAAATGCTTAACGGCGTTGAAAGACCTCCAGCAAGTCTCAGAATTATACCGATACGATGCTCTTAACCCGTTTAGTTACATGGCACTAGATGTGAAGAATATTCACTCGGTTGTGCATCACAAAGATAAACTTTTCACGGTGTTAGACTACCCAAGAAACTCTGGAAATGTTGCCTAAAAAGGTTTAATGAAGACAACCCATTTTTCTTTATCTCCGTTGTTATGGAACGATGGGATTGCTATGACCTTTTGTGTTTTATGCACTTGTTGAAATTGTCATTCGTTTCTTTGATACTGATGTACCTGTGCCTATACGTTTGTAAGTTTAATGAAAGGAAGTCGTTACCGTGACTAGCTTTCGTTATTAGGGCAAAATTTTGAAAACTTCTTACATTAACAATATCATCGTTTTGGTGAAAAGAGATAAACTCACGCCTTGCGGTGACAACAGACTTCAACGGATCAATGCTGGTTAAGAAAATCATCACCCACCGGAAAGGCCCTTCTAAGTTTAGGAAATGGGTTAGAACAAAATTGTATGATCGGGATCGGGATTGGCCGGTATGAACCATTGGGATTACGGGATTGAGAGAAAATTTAAGTCGGGATCGCGGGATTGAAGAACCTTAATTGGAGACCCTCCAGTTAACCTAATTTGAATGAAACGTGTAAAGACAAAGTAAACGGTTACAACGCCTTAAAATTATGATGGTACGGGTCATGTCGAACATTTCGTTAAAAATTTTTACCATGAGTTTGAAATCTAGTTCGAAAAATATTGTTGCAGTACACTTTCTTTGTTTACCTTAATTGAAAAAATATAAATGCTTCTTCTTCCATCATCTGCCCCATCAAGCCCTCAGCGCACTCCTTCTGGGACACGATTTGGAAACTTACACTACAGAGTGATTGAAGATACCTTTCACCGCTGGTTTTCACTTTAGCAACAAAATGGCGGAGTTCCAGCGCCTGGGGGTCCGCAAGTTCCCTAAAATCGCTACTCGTCAGACAAGCGAAACAAGATATTGGAAAAAACTTAGCGTAAGAAATAAGCTCATCCTTACTCCGGAGAGAATCAAAAAATGGTGTTATTGCATTGGAGATTTTATTTGTTTTTCAGTTTCCCATTATCGTCAAGGAGTACGGTACAGTTAGCCACGTGGATTTCTGTAGATCAAAGCCCCACGATTTTATCGCTACTTGCTCGTCACGTGTGAGTATGATTTTGCTGCGTAATTACGAAGCAATTACAGAATTTTTAAGGCATTTTGTTGTGTTCAGTGTTGGTAAGTTCTAGTTACGATCCCTAGCTCATGGGGTCTTGAGTTATATGTAACCGTTGCGACATGCAGTAGAAAATGTCAGTCGTACGAGAAATGACAAGGAAAACGGAAAGCAGTTCGAGCCAACGGGGATTCCAAGAATGCAGATAGCAAATAACTGAGAAATGCTCTTAGGGGAAATTTATGCGAGATCGTGCGAGCGAGGTTTTATCATAGCAGTGTGGCTTTATCACCATGTACTAATGATCAGTGATGTCAATTCATCCAATGCAACCCACAGGTAAACCTTATGCTTGTTATGAACAGCTAACTTCAATCACAATTTTACAAATTAGCTATTAGTGTTAATTTACATTATCTAATCATTTGAGTGTTCTATTACAGATCCAAATTTACAGTTCCAGCACAAACCAAGTCAACAAATCATTCTCAAATTTTAAGGAAAAAGTTTACTGTGGTAGTTTTCGTAATGATGGGAAATTGATAGTTGCTGGAAGAGAGAATGGCTCAGTGCAGGTATTTACAAGATGTGCCCAAAAGTTTGCCTTTGTTTTGTTTCCAAAGTTGAGGTCTAATGTATCACATACTCAGTACGTCAAACGTAAGAGAGTAACGATCAAATCCCCAGCATTGCAGATGTAAAATAACCTGGCCTCTCCAACTCAAAACTAGTAAGGATTCTGAAAAATTTGCATTGACAAAGGACTTCTCAGTAGGGTTGGCATCAAATGGGGTTAATGACTGATTGTTAAAAATTTGTTAGATTAACTTACTTGAGGATATTTCAGTTGAGTTAAAGAGCTTTAAGTCAATTGGAAACTGGTCACATGTTGCTTCCTTTTACTGGTTCATGCTTAATTGGCATTGTCTTCTTAAACAACCTTGTTTTGTTTGATAAGGTGTCCAAGGGAAGGTAAAAGAGGGTTTTCTTTCCTTCCAATTACCAGTAAATTGTTTGTGAGCCCAGATTCAAGTTAATGTCAGGGATTTCAAAGGATTTCTTAAGAAGCTGAAATTTTGGCTAGGGATAGTATGGTAGAATTGGAATTTTTGAATGAAATTTTCCTTAAGGATCATTCTTATATTCACTGTAATTTTGTGTTTTTAGGAAGGGAGGAGAAGAACTTAAACATAGAATCTTTGAAATTTCAAAAATCAAACCCTGTATTTTATTTATATTTCAGCTATTTGATGTCAACAGTAGAGCTGTTTTGAGAGAATTTAAGGGGCATACTAGGTAACATATAAAATATTTTATAAGATTGATTTTCACTCCCTATATTTGGTGCAATATCAGTGACAAGGGGGAGCATATCCTCAGACCCCCCTAGCTTGAAGTGCCTTTGTTGCTCAATATTTTCTACTTTTCTGCATAAAAGATCTCACACTACACCCCTGGTTTTAAAGAAGATTTCTACTTCGGAAAGAAATCTGAATAAGTAAATAATGAGATAACCAGCCAAACAATAATATACAATAACGCTCCACTAGCACTGATGAACTAAATGCTCAAAGATACTAATGGTTTAACAATTCATAAAAGTTAGCACAGTAAATATTTCTAGAATGTGATTGTGTTGCAGAAAACAAGCTAGTCAGGCACGAGGAAACTTAATTGTATGCAGATACCCGGGTTTTTATAAGAAATTAAGTAGCTGTGGAATTGTGTTGTATAACTGGAAAATACATGTATTCTTGACATCTGAGTGAAATTTAGAGGAGGGCATTGAAATTGAACTAATAATTCTTGACAGTGGTCAGAGAACCCTCTGACTTTTAATGCTAATTGAACCACTTGAGTCCTTTACAGTTTTTCTTGCATTTCCTGATGTCTGATATCATTTTTTATAACACAATAAACTCTTTGGAGGAATTTCACATGTTCATGGTGCTCTGAGTTTGACATTTAAAGAAAACTAAGGAATTTACTTTGATATCTCTTATGTTTAGTTTGGATATTTCAGTCATTTGTGGACAAAATTACAACATCACAATACAGTTTATAACAAAGTTAAGCAACTTTTCTGTGTGAAATTCTGAGCTGTTTCATGTTTGATCTGAACAGTAGTTTTTTCCTCGGTGTTTTTTTCTTCAGCTCAGTTCAGGTTACCAAGTTTATGTTGGACAACTTGCATGTGATGTCTGGCTCTGATGATCGGTCTGTAGTCTGTTGGGATATAGCAACTGGGCAAAGTATAACAACATTTAAGGAACATGAGGTAAACCTGCCCATGGTTATTGAATTATTAATATAAAGAAACTCACAGTTAGCACATAATTTTTCATTATTCTGATGAAATTGTGTTTAAAAGCGATTTTGAACATATAGCATTGTGAAAGGATGTTGTGGAAGAGTGTTTTGTTTTTCAAATATTTGAACAGTTACAGAGCTATAGTCATTGGACTTAAAATAGCTGTTTATTGTAAAATTAATAGAGACCTCAGTCGTGATAACAATCCCTGTTTGTTGTGCTTTGGCAGGATTATGTACGCTGTGGTGTTTCTAGCCAGAGCAGTAAGGACCTCTTTGTTACAGGTATTCTTAATTTTTTTTTTAAGCTTTTAGACAAGTACAAATTGTGTGTAATTTGGGTAACATAACATCCTAGTTATCAACAGTGCTTAAATTACATGTGGACAGGTCATTGGTATGGTTTTTACATGTGACTTGCTATTAAATGAGACGATGGCTATAAATCCTGTCAAAAACAAATCAAAACAAATCTTTTGACTCCTTTTGTACCAGCCCATTTTAGTTGTTGATTACTCCAAGTTGCTAATATTTTGTTTTATTTTGTGTGTCAATAAACAGGATTTTATCAGAGCGAGAGTTTTTCAGTTGTAATTCAATTTTTTATTTTCAAATGTTACTGTAAGGAAATCTTTGTTTGTGCATTTATTGATTACAACCAGAAGGGTTTTTAAAAAATTTCAGTGTTGTTTGCTATCATGTTATTATCATATGCTTTGTGATAGGTGCCTATGACCACTGGCTCAAGGTATGGGATGCACGCAGCCAGGGTAGTGTTTTATCTATGGATCATGGCTCTCCAGTGGAAAGTGTACAGATCTTTCCAACAGGTGGAATATGTGTGTCAGCTGGTGAGTGAAATAACCAGCACATATGACTGTAAATGAGTATGGAAATTAATTTTAGGTCAAAATTGTTTCTAACTATTTTCATTTGTTGATGTTTTTTTATTTTATGTCAAATATATTACAATATTCCTCAAGTGAAGAAAAGCACAAGTTATTAAACTAAAGTCAAACCTTTGCTAAGTGACCACCCAAAATGGGTGGTTACTTACATGGGAGATGGCTGCTTACCAGAGGGCAGCTGACATGGGGTCTGTATTTTGGGTAATTTGCATGTGGTGACCAGGCCCTTTCACCTGCGCTTATTGAAACCCATAGTGATAACTTTTAGCAGCTTATTCAAGAGAGAAATTTTAGTATATATGGCAATTGTTCTGTATCTCAAAAATTAAGTAATACAGCATCTATGAAAATGCATGTGAAAGAAAATTGGCTTGTTTGTTACCCCAGGTTACGACATTTATTGAAGCAATTTCAAGTTTTTGCTTGTGAGAGATAAAATTGTTTGTTTGTGATATGATCACCTATGGAAGGTTAACAACAATTGGCTTGTTTGTTACCCCAGGTTACGACATTTATTGAAGCAATTTCAAGTTTTTGCTTGTGAGAGATAAAATTGTTTGTTTGTGATATGATCACCTATGGAAGGTTAACAACAATTGAAAATTGTAAACAAGCATCTCTGAAACTGGTCGCTTAGGAGGGTTGGTTGCCTAGGAAAGGTGGTTACATTAAGGTTTGGTATTTTGAAAAAGTTCTCGCTTACAAGAGGTGGTTGCAGAGAGAAATTCAACTGTAGTTTGATCGTAACCTGATATCTATATAAATTACAACTTATTTTCTTAGTGGACTGAATTATTTATATTAGACAATGCAGCACATGTTAATTTTTTTGCAACTCAGGTGGAGTGGTTATTTGAGTGCAGTTCTTTCTTGTGAGTGGCTTTTGAAATTTTTTACACTTTTCTGAAAAGTGATATGAAGGGTATATCAGGAGTAAAATAGATACAGATTACCAAGTTATCATTCACTGTGTCATTCTTGTGAGAAAACAGGCTTGTCCTTCACTTTGGAACACTGCTCTCTTATGATCTGAGTCCAAGAGTAAATTGGAACAGAAAAGAATTTACTATATCTATTTTGGATTGGAAACATTATTTTGCAGGAAAGTAAGTTTCCAAGGCTGTTGTAGACAAAGTTATACCCAACTCTCTCTAAGAATACAGCAGTTATTCAAAGGTGCTTACCATCACTTTTGCTCTTACATGCACTTGGAGGGGGCTCTTAAAGCTTAAAACTTAAAGCGTATTATTTAGGAGTAGTTTTGTCAGCATTGAATACAAATGTTTGTGCCCACTTTTTGCCTCATAACTGAAGCATTGTACTGAATACTGTACTCAATACAAGATAGAATGAGCTCAGAGCCACCTAAGATATGAATCGAGAGATGATTGTAAGCCAAGGTGTTGGCAGGTTGGGGGGGGGAGGGGGTGGTATAGTTAAGGTGTTTTCTCCATATTGTAATTCTCCTTTCAACAGGTTCTAACATCATCAAAGTTTGGGATATATTAGGAGGTGGAAGACTCCTAGCAGGATTCTCAAACCACCAGAAAACCATTACATCTATTTGCTTTGATGGAGATTATAGACGTCTGTTGTCTGCATCGCTAGACAGGTTTGAAATTTAGTGTGATGTGATACTGTGTACAGAAAGGCTATCCCTGAAATCTATAAAATGGCAGCTGTACATGGTGTAAAAACATTCATGCTATGGCTAAGGTGGAAGCAGGCATTACATCATCAGTTTGTTGTTTTATCAAAAAATTAAAACAGAAATATGGTACATTTATTTTATTTTAAGGTTTTTTTTAATTAAACACCTCTTTTGCTCAATTGGATCAAAAACTATTTCAGTGAACTTTCAGCCTGCAGGTAACAATAATTGGTTATACTTGGTTGTTTTGAGAATCAGCCTTATGTGTACAAGATTTTGTGAAACCATTTGATTTCTTGTCTTACTTGATTCTTGGACAGGGTAGCTCATGGTATTTTTATCTCCGTTAGGCATGTTAAAATTTACGATATTCAAGATTATACAGTTGTTCACAGCATGGATTATCCATCACCTATCCTTAGCCTTGCTGTTTCAGTAAGTTTCTGATGGATAATTGTTAACCAAGGTCATCAGTTTTAAAAATTTGCAATTGAGCATGGATCACTCTTAAGGACAAGGAAGATGTAATCTGCTTTTCACTGCTGTTTGTGGTCCACAAACTGTGATTAAGTGGCTGGAATTGTATGTTCTATAAAACCTTAGTGTTGAAGGGAAGTGTACACCTTGCTTCTTGTAGCACCTTTGGAAATGGGACATATATAGCATTTTTTAACTAGTTGTTTGTACACTTAGTGCTTTCAAAGTTTTGACGATGTTTTTCAATCTCTCAAGGAGAAAAACTGCATTACAATGTATAAGATAATCCACCAGTCTTTTAGCTGCAATGAATCATCACAGCCTTTTTACAAGTTGTGTATGAAAACTAGATAATGGCCTTTGCTTTTCTTTACAGTAGAACGCCAAAATTGTTTTAGCTGTTGTTTTTGCTGGTATGTTTTAATATTATGTTTATTGCTATTTTATACCCTTGTTTGTTTACAATTATAATAGCCTGGCAATACACATGTCGTGACTGGTATGGCAAATGGGTACCTGTCCATAAAATATCGAATAAAACAAGAAGTGCAAGATGAAGTCCAAACAGCCAAGAAGCTAACAGCTGGAACGTATCGTTACTTCGTACGTGGCAAAAAATTCCAGCCTGATAAGGTACAATGTGCACGTTTGCACAATTTATATAGTTTCCTTAAACTGGTGTATCATAATACAATAAAAAAGGAACTTTTCTTGCATCATCAAACAGAAGTTAGTGCATAGCTTATTTTTCCTGATAAATCTTTCATTGCTCTTCTCATAAAGAAAGAATTTAAATTGAAGCTAGCTAAATATGCGAGGAAGGTTCCAGCGTAACTAATTCCTTGAATCGATTTTATGAAAAGAATCAACCTGAAATTTAACATAATTAAAATGTTTTGGTTACTTCTTGTTCTCTATGTTTTTCATTCGGGGTTGAAAAGACGGTTACGCTCATCTGCTACTGTGACTCTAGCCATACCGACTTTAAGTGACCATAGTGATCAAAATCTGAACCCACTCTTAGACCTAAAAGACGATAGATATTTTTATACATATGTTTAGAAGTTGTAGGGGATCCCTTGCACACCCTATGCCAGGGGAGTTTTGCAAATAATTGTGAGAAAATAAATTCAGAATTTTGGCTGGTGACTGCCTAACATGAGGTCCGCTTAATATGGGTTTCATTATGTCCTATTTCTTAATTAATTAATTTTTTCATTTAACTTCTACATCGTTTCAGGGAGATTTTGTTGTGTCAGCACAAAGGAAACACAAGTTGAAGGAACATGACCAATTGTTAAAAACGTTTCAGTACTCAAAGGCTCTTGATTCCGTTCTGAGGAAGGTTGGTTTAAGCTTTTCATTGCAAAGGATCTGTTTTACTTTTTTGTCTTTTTCTACTTTTAATAAGTATTTCAGATGTCCAGCTGTCTTTTAAAATGGGTCCTGGTTCTGAGAGAAAGTATGATACATATGCATACATGGTTTGTTACTCAGTTTAACTGTTATAAACATTTTTTTTGACAGCCTTCCTATTGTCGCACTCCACTTCTTGTCAGTCTTCTCCAAGAGTTAATACGGCGAAAGGGTCTGAAGAGAGCACTGGCGGGGAGGGATGAGGATGGCTTGGTTCCTATTCTAGAGTTCATCACAAGGTACTAATAGTGTGCTAGATACTTTGTAATCAGTTTTTGTACCTTAACTGTGTATAATAGTCGTTAAATGTATTACTAACATTTTGACACGGTTAACCTCGTAAATCTTTCGCGGTTTTTGTTTAAAAGTTAATCACCATTGTTTCAAGTAAATGGACTTGTATCCACGCAGTTAAGCTGTTTATGAGTTAATGACGTGAGTTAACCAGTGAGGACGAGATAAATTTTTATGAAATACCATGTATTTCTTGACTGATTGAGAGGACTGGAAGGAAAGATATTTGCCGCGAGGTCATGATGCTAGGACTGCACATTATCTAGAAATTTATGACTTGGTGCTGTGTTATTCATGGAACGACAGACGTCAGCTAACATCATATATTTCCTTACAGATATGTTAGTAATCCGCGGTATACAGTTCTTCTTATCGATGTCACAAATGCAGTTCTTGGTAAGCTTCAGTTTTGTCCTTTTTTGTCCTTTTCTTATCAGTATAGTGTATTTGTTAACTAGGCCATCTAATTTTCCTGAAGTGCACGGTGTTTGCGTCCTAAAAGCGTTCTGAGGTTGACAGGTAAATACGCATGGCTTTTGGTAATTACCAACCTTTCACCACTTAAACCTCTCTAAGGAAACTGAAACTTTGACACGTACAGAAGGGGAAACCGTTAACCTTTTGAAAACGAATAGTTTTTGTTCTGCAAGGACTGACTTGAAAGTTGAAAACTAGACAGTTTTGAATGTTTTAATCTGCATTAAAGTATGTTAACATACTGATCGTGGGTGAAATGAACGTATGGATAAGAATTTTCATTCCATGACAGACTTCTCAGGAGCTTACTTTCTGGTCTTTAGATATCTACGGACCTGTGTTTGGTCAGTCGGCAAAAGTGGATCAACTATTCTCCAGGTTAAAAGACAAGATTGGCAGTGAAATTCATTTCCAGCAGAAATCTTTCGAGTTGCTTGGAAGTTTAGATATTTTGTTTGCAGCAGCCATTTCTACTTCATCATTTACAACCGATCTAGACGAAGGAGAGTAACCATCATATGCCTACCAGTACCTAAATGAATGAGGAGACCTGCAGGCGAATACCCAAAAACACGTAAATGTTAAGAGAGCTTATAGGAACACACGCCTTATGTAAATTATTGTACAGAAACTATTTTATTAAAATTGTCAGTGAAAAAAAAAAAAGAAAGGAAAAACGCACCTAAAACAAAACAAAAAAAATTATAATAAAAGAAACCATTCTCTTGACGAATATGTTGAATTACGTTAGAATATTTAACAGACTGACTGACTGAGATAACGGTAACTTCACAATCATTTCAGTTCGATCTGTTGCTCTTACAAAATGTAATTCTTTCCAAATGTTCACTTTGATAGCAAAGTAAAACGAACTGTAAAAATTTGAAATTAATTTAACTTAAACTTCTGTTCCCTCGCTCACCCTCCCCGCTTTCCTGGCTCTAACCTATCTAATCGCATCGTTTTAGCTTTTATTGTGTATGTAGAGCCCCCCTGAAATCCGCCTTGGCGAGTTGGGTTCCCTTAGATATTATTACGGTTTTCTTTATTATTACTGATATATGTAGGAAGCCACAAAATCAAATCGTACATCGGAATTGATTGATGTACTGTAGAAAAAAGTACGAGTTGTCAATTTTAAAAACTTCAGGATTCAGTTTCGAATCGTTCAAAGTGTCTTGTAATTCATCCACTAAAATGGACTGCACACTTGTTTCCTCTTTCCGCTGTCCCCTAAAATTGACTAGTTCGAGGGTTAAGGCTCACACCTACCATAGATAACAGGGGCAGCTTACAATTTTTAGTTCTCTTGATTGCGTGAACTTTTAAGCAAGTATTTATTTGAGGAGAAATCGCGCTGGAATTTTTCAAATTGTCAGCGATGTTTATTTTATAGTACTTGCTAGGGCAGAAACCAAAGCGTGGCTTTCTGCCCACTTTCAGCCAAACTACAAGAAAGACATGAACGGCAAGGTTTATACATTCAACTTTGAATTAATAAAGAAAAGACTGAAAACACATCTCAGTATTCAACTTCATTGACCATGTCATGTATCAAGTTAACGTAATTTTGATGAATGTCGGGTCGTCGAAATGACCGATATTGTCGCTGAGTTAACTGATGTTAGTAAGTTTCTGAAGAAGCTGTGGTGTTGCGCCAGTGGGGGATATAACTAAAGAAGCTAAAAACGTTCACTTAGAAACTCTTTACAGTGGCCAATTGATGGTGGTCAATTTACATTATCAACACAGTTGATTAAGCCAAATTACTATGTCTATTTGTTAGCGATTAGAACATTTTCGAACTCTGATTGGTCGAGGATTGCGCTATCTCTCGCCATAATCACTTTATTATGTTATTATTAAACAGTAGTCACTTCGTCTTCCACAGTCTCGAAGTAGAGGACGTTAGGCATAGCACAGCCTCTTGGGGGTGTCCGTTGAAGTTTGTGTTGCAAACAGTGTTGGAATAACCGTGACAGTAAGGCATCAAATAGACTACGGCAAGAAGTACAGATCACTAGCCTTCTCGTCGCAAAACAAGTGTTATGGGCATTCAGTAAAATAACAACACATGAACATCTTTGTTGGTAAAACATCCATTGGCCGTTTTTTATCAAGAGTAGACTCTAAGAGTCTCCCCAGAATCGAAACGTTAATCGCTTTAAACATATTTATTCGATTTAAGTCTTCTTTTCGGCGTCCTGATTTTACCTTGGTAAAGCACCCATCAGGTGTCCTCATATACCAACGATAGGGGATATGTATTCTCCAATCCTTTTCCTCTAGCAAATTTCGGCTCTTTTCGGTGTAGAAGATACAGTTAACGTAAAACAATAGAGAATAAAAAGGCGAAAACAGTAGGTTAATGAGGCGGCATTCAATAGTGACGCTGTCTTCTACACCAAGGAAGAGCCCAAATTTCGGATCCGTCTTAATCCTCTTGCTTCTAGTTCGGTTAATTTAGATCCCCTGAGGATCCCGAGACATTCTCCGCAGGGGTTGCAAACTTAAAGTTCGTTTGATCAAGTTCCTTTAAAGAGCAGGAGGGAAAAATCCTCATAACCCAACTAGGGGCTGCTTAAACACCACTCACGATGCATGAAAGAGGTTCTTCGTCATGTCATGAATGTGGGATGTTAAAAGAAAATCTTAGTTCCAAAGAGGAATCGAATTAATTCCCCGCATCGATGCTCTACAGAGACATGGGCGCGGAATGCGAACATCCAGAGATCGGTTCTTCGTTGGGACTCGGATTGTTTTCTTTGTCCTGAAGCCGTGACAAAGCGAAAAAGAAACCATTCTTTGTGCCCCTATTTTCCCACTAACGACTTCTTTTCAATTCCCCATTGTCGATTCCGATCATATGACGCTTTCCCGGATCTCATGAAGAAAATTTTTATTCATGTTAGATGACCAGTCGCCTCACTGTGCATTTAAATCTTACTCTACACAAGATGAATAAACCCTGTCAAATTGAGGTGTGTGTATTGAGGTAAGGTGTTTCAGTTTTAATTGCTCCCACCTGTTTAAACATATATCTAACGGGGAAAGTACAGTCTAAAATGTATGCCCACTTCTCCCGGCACAACCCTGTCGGCGGAGAACTATGCTCCTTTTTCACTGACTGAAAGTCGTAAATAATACTGCAGTAAATGAAAACCGCAAAAATTTTTTATTGATCACCTCACAGAACATAAGCAATATGATAACGTCAATTAAATGGTAAACTGGGTTCTCAAATGTCCTGTTTGATGATTTCAAGTTCACTCTGAATTTTTTTTTTCAACCTGTTCAAAAAAGTGCCTTGTTTATCTCAGATCAACATTTCGTTCATAATTAAAGGTAATGAGCGAATTTATGCAGAAAAAACGAAACCTCTACAAGAATTCTTCACAACCAAACTAAGTTAATTAAAATTCCTTGAAATGGAAGTAAAAAAAGAAAAAACAAAACAAACAATAACTTCGAGGTTAAAATAATTTTTCAGTGGGAAATCCCAGCGCCTTGACCTTCTAAAAAGCTTATTGACCATATCGTTCGTTTCGAGGTTAAGTTTCGAGCGAATGCCATTTTTTTCCTTTTAACTGAAGGGTTTTCGAGCTATCTATCGTCCGTAAGGGTGAAATCCACGAGAAACATTGCCTCCCCTTCCAAGACTTTCTCCGCCTCCATAAGGACCTGGACCGTAGCCAGGTTGCTCAGCATTACCAGCAAAGCCACTGTATCCTGAGTCGGAGGAGAAGGATGTCCTAGCAGGACCATAGTTAGACTCCTGTTGTGGGTAGTTCCCCAGGCCTGTCCAACGAAAAATATTGTAAACAGATTTTTTAATATGAGCGGCCCTGTAAATTCTCATAGCTATGACAAAATTTACCATTAACCGTTATCATAAATTCCGCTATCAGTGACTTTTGAGTTTGAACTGATGTTGTGCTGTGTATCACTTCGGCAGATTAAAAATGCGGGAAGGGAGAAGTAGAAACCAACTTGCTAGATAGGAATGGAAGCCAATTGTAAGATCGATATCTTGGAGAGCAGTCTCTAAGGTCTGATGTAAGGTAAACCAACAATCCAAACCTTTTTGTTTACGATTCGCTACCTCTGCTGAGATTAACATGGTTTACGATTAAAGTTGCATGACGCCAAAGTACAGCAGAAACATTTCACAACAAAATCGACTCTATGACATAGACTGAGATCAACAAACTTTGAACCAAGAGATGAAAACTCAATTTTAACACATAGGTCACTGCATGCTAAGATGGGATAACCCCGCCCTTCCCCCAGTGCGGCCCAAGCCCCATTGCTCACCATAAACTGAGTAGTCTGTGGTAGCAGGGGTCTCTAAGCGAGGCTGGCCACCAGGGGTAGTTGCTGGCATTCCAGCTTGGGGTGTTGCTGCTGACATCTGACTGTAATCTGGATATCCGCCTGACGTTGCGGCCATAGATGCTGCTGATGAAGGTACTGCACTATAGTTTCCATATCCTGTAAAAATAGTTAATTTTAAGTAATGATATCAAGTATAAAGTAAAGAAAAAATATCTTTATTCTGATAGGTTACGACAATGCTGTTTTCAGGTAATACAAAGCAGCTTTTTATGACTCAATATGTCATCACTTCAGATGCGTGATAACAATTCAGTGTTATTTTTTGGCCTTTTAAGTGAAGGAGAGGCTCCTGATTCGAGCCTCTTCAATGTTTCATTGGAAACTATATTCCAAAATTTGATAAAAACAGATAAAGTCTCAAGAATATGAAATTTTTACTTCCCTGAGAGGTTTTGAATGGCCAGTAAAAAATTAAGAGTCAGTGGCTTGGCAGCAGGCAAAATAACTATTGCATACACCTGGTTAATTGGTACAGACATCAAAACATGAAACAAGGTTTGTTCATTTCCAGAGGAAAAAGTAAAGGAACCAGTAAATGTTACTGACACGAATTTCAAAAAGGAAAATTGTTTTGCTTCTGTTTGATAAAACCTCTGGTACACAAAATCATGCACCAAGTCTGTTTCAAGAATGTAACTACTCACTGTAGGCTTCAACTGAAAACAAAACAGATATGAGAAAATAGGCCAGCTTAGGACAGGACGAGGTGGAGCTAGGAGATCTTTCATTCCTTATGCTCCAGGAGAAGCTAAGGCCTTGGGTACCGTCAAGTAGAGTTTAGATGGGCCATATGAGAGTTGCATGCTTGCATCATATATTTTCCCTATCAGCCCTCCCTCTTAGTCCATAGGTACATAGCATTTGCAATAATCCTTTTTTTATATTACATCAGCATACAACATTAACAGATTCTTACCAGGAGTAGCAACAGAAGTTTGTGCACCATACATGGAAGTCTGGTCATATCCACCTACCACAGCAAAATTGTAAAGTAAACAGAGGTGTTAATGCTCTATTGCTTTCAGTTGCATGAGGCAAAGATTTGAAATGCTCCTACAGGGAACATTAACGATAACCCCTATTTTACGTTTGATATCAGGAAATTGTTCATTAATCATAGCAAAGATTTGAATAGTTTAAAACTGTTTGTACATAGTACATGTGGTATGTAAAGAGCAGTCATTTAGGGTATGTTAGTGGGAAAATGGAGGGGTTATAATACCTTGAGGAGTTACTTTTGCAACTATCAATTTAAAATGTTTCTTTGGAATAAACTTGGAAGGAACTATTTTCCAAATTGGTTCTCTGTGATAAGCAGAAGGGCATCTACTGAATTGATGAGATACTCTCAAACTCCTTATGTTTTTTACATATAACGTGCATTTTTTTCAATTCATGCTTAGGGTTTAGGGTTTGTGAAATGATGGAAATGTGATGAATTTGATTTAGTTTTCGTGGTTCACATCTTAATATATTGGACATGGGTTGTCTTACCTAACAACTTCAGTGCTTTCAATAGGATTTAAACAAAATGGCTACCTTGGTAAAGCACCCATCAGAGAATAATACGAAAAAAATTCCCTTCTCATCATCCCATTACTTCTATTCAGAATGAACTGCCTTCAAATCTTCCATTTGCTGACATGCACACCTGCTCCCTGAGTTTCACACAAAAAGTCCTCTGAGATGACACATGGTTACTGGTTACCAAAATTTTGAGTCAGTATGGTCTTGGAAACTCAAAATCTTTCTTTTGCTGGAAACGTTTGAAATATATGCTGAGACATATAATAAGATAATATATATCATTTTTATCAAAACTTGTTTATAAGGTAAAAGTTGACTGAAAGAACTCTAAAAGATCTCTACATGTTTTAGGTCTCACTTTGCCAGTTTCTTTGAAAGCTTCCAAAGAATTGCAACAGAATACACTCTGGACCTCTGGCAGGTGCTTGGTCTTATTGAAAGCACTGCAAGTTTAATTCATTTTGTTATCTCTGATTTGACTGCTTCTCGTTCAATGAATTTGTGAGGATTAGGAAAAAAAAGCTAAGATTGGCAGTGTATCTGGACTTACCATAACCATATCCTGGAGTAACCATGTTGGGT